CTTTCCTCTCCTTCGCGGTTGTCTAAATGTTTAAAACATTCACTGATATAGTAACTGGAGGGAAGGATAAGACTTTATCACCAATTGCTATCACGTTTGAATAGGTTTAACATATTATTTTGTCAGATGTTCTGGACTAATTTGTTGATTTGACAGGAAAAAATATCTGACAGGCTGGTTCCCTCAGCCGGTTATCCTTCCAGTCCTTAACACAGAGAGGAAAACAAGAAAAAGAGAACAAAAAAGACACACACACACACACACACACACGGACACATATGTGTATATATACATATACATATATCTGTGGCAAAAAGCTCTTGAAATGGGTAGCAAAGCGAGTTGTACCTTTAAAAAGACATAGATGGACTGGAACGAAAGCTCTGCATTGGAAAGTTCACCTTTTGGAGTCAGAATGGAAACAAAACAAAACAAAACACGGAGTGAAGGCCCGGAAATGAATCCCAGAGCGGTCAGACTGACCCCACCATTCTCACCAGGAGGGGGAGACAACGAATAAACGTTGTGTTCAGTCAGAATATGAAAACACCAGATGGGGCCAGATCATCAGAGTAGATACCCTTATATTTCTATTTTTCTCAGGAAATTTTTTTTCTGATCTCCATATCCTGGCAGAAAGAAAAAGTATTCTAATCTCTGCACACATACAGACGAACCCCCCACCACCACCACCACTTCCAAGATGATGGAAGTGGCCAGTACCTGACCTAGTCAGAACCCATTTCACAGGGCTGTGTGAGAATTAAATGAGAGGATGCTGTAAAACACAGCACCAAGAAAATTCAGTGGCTCTAATCCAGACCTGCAGAATTAAAAATTCTCAGATGGGGCCGAACTATAGTGTTTTAGCAAGCCCTTTGAGATGATTTTGATGCACACTAAAGTGGGACAGTAATCGTTCTAAGAAGCTTGTCCACTCAAATAACTAACCCAAATTTCTCTGTCACTATTACAAATCCCATGACTCCGTGGCTTCTGAATTATGTTTCCTTCTTGAAATTCCAAAGCCATCGTGTGTTTCTTGAGTCTAGCTTTGTGCTCAGTGTCCTGGTGCATGCTAGGAGAAAGAGACAAAGAACCTGCCCCCCAGACTTGCAAATTAGGTGATCCAGGGGTAGAAAAAGCTAATTACCTCTACAAGGTCAGAGCTAATAAATGTCAGATGAATTATAGTGATGATAAGCAAATGTCCTAGGAAATCAGAGATGGGAAATGTCATAATTATAGAGGGAGGATCCTAAGCAGAAATGACCACTGCCAAGCCAACTCCAACCCTTAAAAATAGCTGTAAGTAGTTTTCCTACAAGGCAATAGCTGTGGGAGTAAGCCCCTGCCTATAAAGGAACCCCCAACATAAATATGAGTCAATTTTTTTTTTTGGAGAGATTTTCGCTATAGGGCACGTGCGCTCGCCAGACAGACAGAGAGAGAGACAGAGAGACAGAAAGTGAGAAATCACCCCCCAGGGGGGATGGTCACGCCGCAATCCCTTCTCCTCCATTCTCCTCTTGGGATCTTGGGCACACACGCACACATGCCCGGCGTGAGTTTTAAGCCACTGGGTCCGGGACGCGAACTGCGGTTGACTACGTGGGAGTCCAGCGATAGCCATTATGCTAACTGCTGGTTCCCGAGTCCATTTACCTTTAACAGCTGCTCATTGATATAAAAATATGAGAAAGTTTATTGCTTTTTTTAAAAAAAATTTGCCTGAGGATGCATGCATTACTAGGGAGGGGAGAGAGAGAAGGAAAGAGAAAGCAACCCTCCTTGTGAAATGGTCACAAAGCAGTCCCCTCTCCTCCATTTCTCTTTCCTATTGGGATTTTGGGCATGCTCACACATGGGCCTAGCATTTCTTAAGCTGCAGGGTCTTGGATTCAAACCACTCAGTCAACCATATAGGCCACCTTAACCACCAGGCCACAAGCTGACTCTGTTTATAGCTTTTTAAAGTCATTTATTTTCTCCCTCTAGTCCTTCAGCTACTCACAAGAAAGGACAGCAATGCATAACACAGACATAACATAAATACTTGACAGAAGTAATTATGTAGCACCATTGCCAAGATGTTCAGAATAGCTATCTAATTTTTCACTTCAGTATGGTTGCATGAAGTGGCTCTAATGACATTGTGCATTATTGTGGCCAGAAAACAATTCAGGAGGAAGAAGTGGCTTTCTCAGTTGTATTGGTCCATAACAAGTGATGTCTGCATCACTACCCAGCTCCAAGTGAATTATTGACATCACTACCGATTTCCAAATAGTCATAGTATCATCTCATAAACTAGCTAGGCTAAATCTGAGGTGGAAAGACATTCACCAGACTAACAGACAGACAGTGATTGCATGAAGTTTGATAGTTTATTTAATTTCCTTTTTCCATTATTCACAATAAGTACATTACAAACACAGGCCCCATTGTTATTATCTTAATAGTGTTTTCAAACCAAATGCAAACTGAAAAGCATATTTCAAGTGTTGACTCGTACTCTTAGTCAGAAATTTGTGTGGAAAAGAAGATATTTGGGAAGAATAAACAAGATTAATAAACAGATGATGATGGTTAGAAAAAAAATGATGACCAAGGCTTTAGTGTTGTAACATCTCTGTTTGACTCAAAGACTAACATAAGTGCAGACTAGTCACACTTATTCATACATTAATGCAGTATATTCTTTATTTTGACTCCGAATACTCCACTTCCCCAGCTGTTCTACACTCTACTTGGTATAGGCCATTTTGAGAGCCTTGCATTCTTGTGACCAGAAAACAATTCAGGAAGAAAAGAAGTGACTTTCCCAGTTGTATTGGTCCACAACAAATGATGTCAGAGAATTAAGAGAAAGAAGCTTTGGACCAGCAGTTGGCGTAATGGCTATGTCACTGGACTCCCATGTAGTCTACTGCGGTTTGAGTCCCAGACCTGGTGGCTTGAACTCACGCCAGTCATGTGTGCGTGTGTGCTCAAGATCCTGAGAGGAGAAGGGATTGTGGCATGGCCATCCCCCCTGCGGGGTGATTTCTCACTTTCTGTCCCTCTGTCTCTCTCTGTCTTTCTGGTGAGCACACATGCCCTATAGCAAAAACCTCTTAAAAAAAGAGAGAGAGAGAGAGAGAAGCTTAAGAGAAGAAGAGGCAGTAGATATACTGTGACCTGTGATAGAGCCACCTCTGCCTTGATTCTTTAGTTATATCTTCATTATTAGTTTCACATCCAAATGTTCGTGTCTGCACCTGGTTAGCCTCCAGGATAACAGGAGTAAGATGCCATGGGATAGCACTCTAATCATCCGTAATAGTTTGCTCTATCATTTGGGGATTGGGTAAGACATTTTCCAGGCATGGGTCATGATTGTTCACTTCTGGGCTGGGAGACATAAGAGTTTGTTTTGTTTTGTTTTGTTTTAATCTCTTAAGGATATGTGTTAATTTACTTGAAGAATACATAAAAATTTTCTTCCTCTGCTTCTTATTCCACAGAGATGACCCAGACATAGGAGCCCCAACGTTTTGTCTTTAATTATCACAAATTCTCCTTTTACAAAGGAGTGATACTGGAAAAACAGTTTCAGCAGTGGATCATTATTGACAAAGACTGTCTTCTTGACCACACTTTGTCTCAACCAATTGTTAATTCGGATGCATTTATCCACATGGACATGTGGAGAAAGGACAAAGATAAGATGAGACTTGGGCACAGTAATAGTCATTTGGTTGTGGGCTAATGTTTCCAAACTCAGGCTAAACTGAAAGCATCTCAAAGTATAATGGATAATCCTCAGGCTCCTCTGAGCTCATATTTTGACTAGGCCTCAACTACTGCCTATAGGAACTGCAAGTTTCAGCACAAATGACTTGATCCATTCCCCCCCCCCACACACACACACACATACACACATTAAGAGACATGAACAAATACTAGCAGTGTCTATCAGCTCAAGGTTGTGTCCCTAGGACGATGACTCCAGCCCCCTTAAAATGGCTCCCTGATAAAAACATTAATTAATTAATTAATTAATTTAAAAAATTCAACACTGCCAAAGGAATTTCATGTTTGTTTGAGCCAAAACCTGACTATAGGCCCTGACAGTCTCCTTATAGTATGCACTTTAGAAAACTTGGAATTGTGAAGGCTTTCTCAGTCCCTTTGAAATGACTATTCTACAACCCAGAAGTGTCTTTCTCAAGGCCCAGGGAACCATCCCCTTGAAATGTAATAGTCAAGAAAGATAGGGCCCATGTCTCCAAGTTTATGTGGGAGGGTTGGAGCCTAATTTTTATAAGCATCAGTGAGCAAACACAGAAATGCTAATCACATTGACCAATTTGACCCCAGTAATTTTCCTTTAGTACACCTTGCCTTTTGTTTCAGTGAAGTTGAGCTCTGTTCCTCTGAAGTCTCTCTCCCCTACTGCCTTGACCTGCATAAAACCTTTATTAGCACCTTTGACTAATGTCTGGTTCTGTTTCTTTTTGACATTAAGAAGTAACAGGGTCAACACTGTACAGTAGAATTAGTACATGGACTTTCAAGGATAACAGAGTAAAGAAAAAATATAGGATGAACGAGATGCATTTATCTACATGGAGACATGTGGTAAAAGGACAAAGAGGGACAAGGTGATACTTGGGCGCAGTGATAGCCATTTGGTTGTGAGCTAATGTTTCCAAACTGGGGTTAACTGAAAGCATCTTAAAGTGTAATGGATAATCTAAAAAAATACTGTAGCAAACAATCCAGCACTGCCTAGAATGGAAAAAAAAAATAAGTGGAGGTTAAGTCTTTTCATGACTTGAGAGATCTATAAAAGGCTGACCTTGTTCTAACTGGATCAGTCTTTCTCTGAGTTACTTAGGCCTCATGATAAAGCTCAGAGCTTGCTGGACCACTGAGAGCACTTTGACTCCTGAGAATAAAGCGCCTGACTTTGTGCTGTCACCATTCTCTATAGAGACAGCGACATCATGAAGCAGAAGTTCTGGTACCAGCTGGTGGTCAGGGCTTTAGTAGAGTATGGAGGGTTGAGTAAAGAAGCAACATCTTGAAGCAGCTGGAAGAGTCATCCCAGCACTTAAACTGACAAGAAAACATCGTAGTGACAAGAAAACTTTGATACTACCAAGGTAGGGGCACCTCTGACTTTTTTTTTTACTAGCTAAGGGGGCATCTTAATGGTGAGGTGAAACCACAGAAACTGTTAAAGCAGCCTCAACCTTTCCGTTTTAATAATATTTTAAATATAATTTTTTAAGGTTTATTTATCCCATGAGTAAGAGAGACAGAGAGATAGAGAGGACTCCTAGAAGAACTTGGACTCTGCAATCCACTCCTAGCCTCAGACATCCCTGGATCATGGACATACCCATACCCAGCATACTCAGAGAGGTCACCAAATATAAACCCAAAACTTTCCCATGGGAGTCAGCCTCACAGAACATCACATTTTACCTCTGTGCCACCATCTGGCCCCTTATTTTCAGGTTTTTATTTGGGATACCCAGAAAAGGCTTTGATCAACATTTCTCTTTCTACACATAGTCAAAGATCTCGTGCCACAAGTATCTGATGCCTAGTCAATGAGAAAGAAACTAAGATGTGAAAATTAATAGTTTTGTTAACAAAGACTCATGGTATGTGGAAACTACAGTCCTCCAAGAAACTGGTAACTAATATCATTAGATTTTTCTGAAGGTCTAGCAAGAAAAGGAAAGGGAAGAGATCTTGAGGGATTGTGAATTAGAGAAAATGTGAAAAAAAGTATGTGTATCCTTTTAAAGATAACATAAAAAGTTTTTCCTATAGCAAACAGACTGATATATTTTTATATGAAAAGGTTACTGAATTTGCCAGTGTACCACACCTTGGCTCTGGTTGCCAGAGTTACAGACATTGTGATCCAACAAAGTCCATTGTGATACCCCAGGGTCAAAGCCAGCAGGGAAGAGCCTGGCCCATCAGTCTGGTCCAACAGCTGACGGGGGTAGCAGCCAGCTGCAGGTGCCCAAGAACTTGGCACTGCCCGACTTCCATCTAAAGGGGCACATCTCCCTTCCGGGTGACACATTTTCAGCCAAAAGTTGAAAAGAACTTCATCATCAAGGTAATGAGTGTATAAATTTTATTTTTTATAGTTTTTTAGAACTTTGAGTCTGGGGCTATATCCAAATCAGATGAGGGATTTCTATGTCTTCCCCTTATTTTCTAAGCTAGTATTCCCTAGCTCATGGGAGGAAAGAAAGAAAGAAAGAAAGAAAGAAAGAAAGAAAGAGAAAAAGAGAGAGAAAGAAAGAAAGAAAGAAAGAAAGAAAGAAAGAAAGAAAGAAAGAAAGAAAGAAAGAGAAAAAGAGAGAGAAAGAAAGAAAGAAAGAAAGAAAGAAAGAAAGAAAGAAAGAAAGAAAGTTCCTTTTCTGAGTATGTGTAAAGCCTTTTCCTATAATTTTTTTCAAGGTTTCAAAGAGATTCTTGAATGGAGAGCCCCCAAAATATCATGGTGGGATGAAGGTCCTCAGGGATGGTAGAGGGGAGGAATATAGTATTAGTATGTTATAGGACAGTCATTAAAGAATAGCTGTTATCAAAACGTTGGTGTAGGAGAGAAAATGAGAGTAGGGAAGGACGAAGAGAGGATGGAAAGGAAGAGAGAGGGTGAAGAGGGAGGAAGGAAGGAAGGGGAAGAGAAAAGCTGAGAGTCAGGGAAGAGAAAGAGATGATGTGGAAGGAGGGGAGTGAGAAGGTAGAGAAGAGAAAGAGAAAGGAGAAGAAAAGAAAAGGGAGAGAGGGAGGGAAGCAAAAGAAGAGGGGAGAAGAAGGAGGAAAGGAAGAGGAGAGAAATGAATGGGGAGAGGAAGAGGGAGGGAGAAAGGGTAGGGAGAGAGGAGGGGATGAGGGAGGGGAAAGAAAGAAAGGGAGAGGGAGAGGAGAGGGAAATTTTTAGGGGGAAGGAGGCAGAGAGAGAAGAGAGGGGAAGGAGAGGACAGAGAGGAGGAAGAGAGAGAAAGAGAGAAGAGGGAAGTGAGGGAAAAAGAGCAAAGGGAAAGTGGAAATGGCAGAGAGGGAAGGAAGAGAAAGAGAAGAAGGAGAGAAGAAAGGGAAGGGGTGAGAAAAAAGGAAAGGAGGGGAAGGAAGGAGGAGAGAAGAGAGGAGTGAGTGAGGAGAGGGATAATGAGGAAGAAGAAGGGGAGGAAGAGAGGGTCTGATCTTCACTCAGATGCTTGTCTCTTAGTTTTATGGCTACTACAGTGGGGTTTTCTCAGCATTCAGAATCTTGTTCTATATGTTGAGATCCTTTGTGTTATTTTAATAGAGAATTTACTCTATTTGGTATTAACCTTAGTCTTTTCCTTTAATTTAGTACATTGTTCAGGAGAAAATGATGGACTAGGGAGTAAATTTTAAAAAAATGTGGAGATCCGTGAGATTATTCAGTGGAGTTGGGAGAAGTAAATCACTACTGCTTCCCAGTCCACCATTTCTCCTGGCCTATGTTCTCTCAAATCAATATGAAACTTCTGATGGTTCCAAATACTTGGTACAAGGAGTCTAAATTAAAGGAGATCATAGATTTTACTAAAAGAAAATGATCCTCATGATCCTCAGCATCAAATTCAAACATTTTGGAGTGCTCTTCCTCACTGCTCACCCCACCAGTCCCTAGTCTAAACCTATACTGAACACAGAAATGGGTTTCAGGACCCCATCCAGAGACTCTTATTCAAATTGACTCAGTTCCTAAAAACTATATGTAAGGATTTGAGATTTTTTTTTCTTTTTCCAGATGTCTGATGATATTGACTGGTTACATAGCCGCAGAGGTGTGTGCAAGGTAGATCTTTACAGCCCAACAGGACAGCAAGATCAAGACCGGAAAGTGGTAAGATATAAAACAACTCCTACTAAGGAGTAGAAAATGGCATATGAGTATAAATACCCTGGGGCCCAAGGGAAACTAATGGAGGGCAATGCTGTGACTTCTCCAAGCAACCAAGCTCCATAAGGTTTGTCAGGGGCCAGAACACTTAACACATCACACAGGGATAAATCATAAAGGGAATGGTGGGGTGAAGAGTGATGTAAAGGAGCTGGGGAGGGAAGGCTAGGGAGGAGCCTGAGGGGAGGGAGGGATGGTAACCTAGTAACCAACCTTTATTACCTAAAACCTCTTAAGTCATAATAATGTCGCCTAGTTACCAGTAAGTTGCACTAGGACCCCACAGGAGGGCAAAATACTTTATACTATTTCCCAAACTTCAGATAATTTGCATAGTGCTTCACATTTTTAATCATGTTCAAGTACCACCCATACTATTTACTTAATATGTATATTTGCAATGTTTTTAAAATTGACGTACAGTTTAAAAATTTACCATCACCCTAACCAATATCACAGATTTGATGTTCTAGTTTGTATTTTCTCTAATGTGCAATGAAAACGTACCTATTAAATGCAGAAATGTTTATCCATTTACCATCTAAAATCTATATAATCAGTAGTAAAAATGCCACATTTTGAGAAACACTAGTGTAATAGAAAATGTCCTAAACTAGAAGCCAGACTTATTGACTTCAAATATTAGCTCTACCTTCGAGTTTGCTTCAACTGGATAAGCCACATCTCTTCTCAGTTTTCTCAAGTAGTACATGTGGATGTTGTACTTTGAGCCTCTCTCTGACAGGTTGGTATTCTCATTTAGACAATATAGCAATACTAAGATTCTGTCTGCCTTTTCATCACAATATTTACACTTATGAGTACTTACTATGTGCCAGACAATCTTCTAAAGCTTTACTTGCACTATCTCAGTTCATCCCCACAAGAACTCTAAAAGGTAAGTGCTCTTATCACCTCCCAGAAAGAGAAATCATGGCCTTTTCTCTAGAGTTTTTCTAAATTCACCCTCCTAATTTGTTAATCATGGCCTTTTCTCTAGAGTTTTTCTAAATACCCCCTCCTAATTTGATGCAGATATGCTTTGTGGATGTGTCCACCCTGAATGTGGAAGATAAGGATTCTAAGGTAGGTATTCTCTGCTCAGAGTTGGAATGGGTGGGAAACTGCTGAAAAGGGTTACCAGTAAAATATGAAGAAAGGGAAAGGTTGTGGCAGAGGGTGGAAAAGGGGAGGGGTCTTAAGTGGAAAGCCATCATTCTCATGAGCTTGGGATTCCTGGTTCTGAATTTATCATCACCCTTGATTCCAAGTCTCATTTTAAAAACCACTGAAGATGCTGGTAGAGATAAAGGAATTAAAACATGGAAGATAGCATGTCAGAAAAGAAAAAGAAAAAAATCTGTCCAAAAGGGTGATGATAAACAGAACATGGTTCTTGAGACTGATTGTTTTGTGAGTATCTTCACAGGGAAAAGTAGTCATTTGTAAAGGAAACTTTGTCTCATTCTTCAAAGATTAGCTAGCATTATAAGCCTACCTTTCCTGGGGAAAGAACAAAGATAATAGGAAGCTTAAGGGGTGGGGGGGGCAGCTTGGAGAAGTCTCAAAAAGCAACTGTTCATAAGAATCTTACCCTTTAATTTCGTAGGATGCGGCTGGCTCCAGCTCAGAGGGCGACTTGAACCTGGGAAATCTGGAAGAAAAAGAGATCATAGTAATCAAGGATACTGAGAAGCAAGACCAGTCTAAGGTACGTTAGTCTCTGGTTTCCACCACTTTCATTCCCAGAGCCTAGTGCTAAGTCTGAAGATTCTGGTTCAGAGGTGGTAAGAAAACTGCCAAACAGGTACATCACTTTGAATACTATGCCATTCTAGAGAACACAGGCCTAAGTTCAAGGCTATGGTAAGTGCAACACACTGGTACTTAATGCACTAATCACAGAGGTTCAGAATACCCTCTCCTGATTTTCAGTTACCTATTCCAAGCATAATCTTGCTATTCTAACACAGATGTGGGCTTATACGCAAGGTCCTCTGCAATGTTCTTGCTGGTCTTTAATGGACTTGTGTGCCCCACCTTGCCTGGCTTCCAACAAAGACGAAAGACAGCTGTGGAACAAAGAAAACCCCTAATGACCAAAAAGTTGAGCCTCGTGCCCACGAGGTCTAAGGCAGTAGTCCTCAACCTTCCTGGCATCAGGGACCAGCCTCATGAAAGACAAGCCTTTTATGGTTTGGGGGAGAGAGGGTTAGTCTCAGAATGATCCAGGGGTACCACATCCACCACATATCCACCACTGCCACATTGCAATATTTGATGAAACACAAAGTAGAGTTTGCACTCTCATGAGAATCCAGTACTGTTGCTAATTGAATGAGAGGCAGAGCCCAGGCAGCAATGAGAGCAATGGGAATCAGCTGCAGACACAAACGAAGCCTCACTTGCTTGTCCACCTCCCATCCCCCTCTGCGTGGCCAGTCATGGGTGAGGAACAGATCATGGGCCAGCAGTTGTCCACAGCTGGGCCCCCAACAGGCCACCAACTAGCACCTGTGGCCCAGGGGTGCGGGACCCCTGGTCTAAAGGAATATCCAGGCTGTTGGGTAGCTTAAGCTGGAAACAATTAGACTTGCACACTATTGCTTCATACACAATCCGTTTGTTTTTGCATAAGTATCCCAAATTATTTCTGCCAGGCTTCTGATTTGGAAGTATATTGTAGAACACAGCAAGTCATTCCTACATCCCTATGAACCTGAAATGGTTGGTAATGGGAAAGGACATTTCACTTTAGTACAAAGGAGTCAAGTGTTTCTTGTTTTGTGTCCCTTAGACATGTATGTTATATTCAAAACATCATTTCCAGCTCCTTGGGGCGAGGGTAGTGGCCCCCAAAGAAGGAAAAACAAGTTACATTGTGTTCTCTAAAGAGTTTTGTGTTTTTTGGGGGGCAACTAAGTCCATTTCAGAGTCTTAAGAAGGAAGTAAATTATACCTGGTATTTATTTCTAAAAATGTAGCCCACATTTTCTATACACAATGCAGATCTCCTTGGCTGTAACAAAAAATACTTTATACAAGCAATGACACCCACATGCCTGGCTATGTGTGACATTGACAAACACCAGCATTGATATAACAAAATTAAAAATATTGTCCTCATAAACAAGGGCTTACCCATATAGATATACAAAGAAAAAGTCATACATACAGAGACAGATGTAGTGACATGTGTAAATGCAGTTATAGCTACATAATATGTACTGATGAATTTATATCATAAAATATATGTAAATAACTCAAATTCACACATTTACCACCTTAACCACCAAGCCACCTATCTGGCTTCCACACTCATGTTTTACATACACATGTACAAATATATACCCTAGGGACAGCCCTTGGCACGGTGATTAATGGAGCTAGATCCCACATGGACAACCATGTGGTTTGAGTCCCAGACCCAGCAGTTTGAGAAACACACTGGTCGCGTGTGCATAAGTGCCCAAAATCCCAAAAGGAGGGAGAGATGGAGGAGAAGGGATCACTGCGTGATCATTCCCCATGGAGGATGCTTTCTCACATTCTCTGTCTTTCACTCTGTCTCTTTCCAGGAAGTAAATAGGTTTTCTGGTAAAGAGATTTAAAAAAAAAAAAAAGAATATACCCAGACATGCACATGTTGGCCTATGTAGATGATACATACAGTGGATAATGATGTCAACACATTACCTAGGCTTATACATAGTCACATGCATGCACACGCATACACATCTGGCACATTTTACACGCTAACAATACACATTCTCACATCTATTGAGATGTTCATACACATGAATTGATGTGCATGTACACAACACAACACATTGACACTTTTTTTTTGACAGAGAGAACTTATGTTTGCCAGAGACAGAGAGAGAAGAGAAAGCACCCCTCATGGGGAATGGTCACACTACAATCCCTTCTTACTTTTGGGATTTGGGGCACTTACACACACATACTCAGGGTGTTTCTCAAGCTGCTGGATCTATGACTCAAACCACATGATTAACCATGTGGTATCCTGATTCCTTGATGACCAGGCCATGGAGCTGGCCCAGACACATTTGTTAAACAATGATATAAACACACATACTCATGTGAAATTTACAAACATATTGATATACTGTATATAGTTACATGTACAAATATACATACTCCTGACATTTTGTTGCCACTTCTGCAAAAATGTGTATAATGGATATAATTGAATATTATGTTCCCATGCAAATTCTAAATGGTCAAATCCCAAATTTGTGCAATTTAGAAGATACATCTTCTAAATAAAGTAAAGGAAAGACGTAGTCTACCCAAATTCTTATAGATAGGTGTTCTTCTTTTTGTAGACGGAGGGATCTGTATGCCTTTTCAAACAAGCTCCCTCTGATCCCTTAAGTGTTATCAATTGGCTTCTCAATGATCTACAGAAATATGCCCTGGGTTTCCAACATGCACTGAGCCCCTCAGCCTCTAGCTGTAAACACAAAGTAGGAGACTCAGAGGGCGAATGTCACAATGTACCCTGTGGGAACTGCTTCAGTGTCTATGCCGATGAACTGAACATGGATTGCATGGCCAATGGACTTCAGAGCCTACGTCTAGAAATGGCAGCAGCCAAAAACACCAACAATAACCAAAGTCCTTCCACTCCCCCAGCCAAATCTCCTAGTACTCAGAGGGCAGTCATCTCCCCTGAGGGAGAATGTTCTATGGATGACCTTTCCTACTATGTCAACAGACTGTCCTCTTTGGTAATCCAGATGGCCCGAAAGGAAATCAAGGATAAGTTGGAAGGTGGAAACAAATGCCTTCATCATTCTATCTACCCAACTTCTGGGGACAAAGGGAAAAACAGCCCCCGCAGTGCTCTGAGCAAAATTGCTTCTGAAATGGCCCATGATGCTGTAGAAGTGACCTCTGCAGAAATGCGTGGCACTGGGGAGGAGTGCAGGGATGGTGGCCGGAAAACCTTTCTTTATAGTGAATTATCCAACAAGAACAAGACTGGAGACAAGCAAATGTGCCAAAGAGACAGCAAAGAATTTGCAGATTCCATCAGCAAGGGACTCATGGTTTATGCCAATCAAGTGGCATCTGACATGATGGTCTCTGTTATGAAAACATTAAAAGTGCACAGCTCTGGGAAGCCAATACCAGCCTGCGTGGTCCTGAAGAGGGTGTTGTTAAAGCACACCAAGGATATCGTGTCTGACTTGATTGATTCTTGCATGAAGAACCTGCATAATATTACTGGAGTCCTGATGACTGACTCAGACTTCGTCTCAGCTGTCAAGAGGAATCTGTTCAACCATGGAAAGCAAAATGCAGCAGACATCATGGAAGCAATGCTGAAGCGCCTGGTCAATGCCCTTCTCGGTGAAAAGAAGGAAACAAAGTCTCAGAGTCTGGCATATGCATCTTTGAAAGCTGGAACCCATGATCCTAAATGCAAGAATCAGAGTCTTGAATTCTCAGCCATGAAGGCTGAGATGAAAGGGAAGGACAAAAGCAAAATGAAACCAGACCAGGCCAAGTCCTTAACCAGTGCTGAGAAAGTCGGTGAACACATACTCAAAGAGAGCCTGACCATGTGGAACCAAAAGCAGGGAAACCAGGGCAAGATGACCAGCAAACCATGTACCAGTAAAGATGAGAAAAGAGAGAAGATCAGCCCTTCCACAGATTCACTGGCCAAGGACCTGATCGTATCTGCCCTTATGCTGATCCAATACCATCTGACCCAGCAAGCCAAAGGCAAAGATGCGTTTGAAGAAGATTGTCCTGGTTCTACGACGGGCTATATGCATCAGAGTGCCCAATATGAAAAGTCTGGAGGCAGTCAAAGTGCCAAAGCACTTTCAATGAAACATCTAGAGTCTCGTGGAGCCCCTGGACCATCCACCTCTCAAAAAGACAATCAACAGATGGACTCCCAGAAGCTGGATATGTCCAACATCGTTCTAACACTGATTCAGAAACTGCTCAGTGAGAGCCCTTTCAACTGTGAGGAAACATCTGAAGGTGAAAACAAGCTCAGAGGCAACAAAACAACTTCCATGTCCAAGAGACCTGACAGGGGAGAAGAGCAGTGCCAAGATAACCAAGAACTTGATTTCATGAGTGGAATGAAGCAAGTGAACCGACAATTTATAGATCAGCTGGTAGAATCTGTGATGAAACTGTGCCTTATCATGGCTAAGTACAGCAACAACGGGACTGCTCTTGCTGAACTAGAAGAACAAGCAGCTATGGCAAACAGCTCCAATTTTGGTGGCCTCAGATGTAGTCATGATGCTGGAATGGCACCTAACTTTCAAGACTCTCCTGGACCTGAAGTAATTGTCAATAATCAGTGCTCTACAAGCAGCTTGCAGAAGCAGCTCCAAGCTGTCCTGCAGTGGATTGCGGCTTCCCAGTTTAACGTGCCCATGCTCTACTTCATGGGAGATGACGACGGACAACTGGAGAAAGTAAGTAATGCATCAAGGCACAAAAAGAGAGTTGGAATGGGTGAAGGTGGGGAGGGAGTCTTGTACTTAGAGCCCAAATTGGTCCAATTTCTTTCCAAGAAAGTTACTGTGTGCTTCATGAATGACTTTCACCTCATAAACATACAAAAGCCATGAACCATTAGCTAAAGGGACAGTAGACACTTCAAGGCCTATGCATTTCTGCCAAGAGGAGGAGAGACAGGTTTTATCCATAAACCTTTCAACAAACTTTTTGGTAAAATATTGGGGAGTGATTTTTTTAAAATCTCATATTCTGAGTGTTAAGACCTATCCCCAAAGGACTTTGGAGAGAGGGGGACAAAAAGAAAAAAAAGAAAAAGAAAAAAGGTAGTTCCTCCTGCCTCCTTGAGGTGATAGAAGTATCATGGACACATTTCATCTTTGAATTGCCAGAAATAGGGAGTGTGGGGGTTAGGTCTTAGTTTACTTTGTCCAGTGGGTCTTTCCTTCAAAGAGCATTAAGTGACTCAAGTTAACTCTGCTCTCTCCACAGCTTCCTGAAGTTTCAGCTAAGGCTGCAGAGAAGGGGTACAGTGTTGGAGATCTTCTCCAAGAGGTCATGAGGTTTGCCAAGGAACGACAACTGGATGAAGCCGTGGGAAACATGGCTAGGAAGCAACTGCTTGACTGGCTGCTCACTAACCTGTGAGCTAACAACTCCTTTGACTCCCCTCCACCTTACTCCCCCCCCAGCAGCATTCTGTCCCAGCTGGAGTACCGCTACCATCAGGCTGGTGAACTGCATAATACCTGACTGTGTTTCGCAATACATCTGAGCAGTTGCACTGTGAAAATACAGGGTGGTAAAGATCTTGGGAACCAACTGTGAAAGAGCATGAATAAAAAAAAAAAAAAAAGTATCATTGTTTTATTCATCAGGTATATCTGAGACAAGGGAGAGGAATGGGTCTAATTCCTAAGACTGGTGATAGTGTTGGACTTGTATCCAGACCTTACCCTGGGTTATGTTTTGAGCTCCCAAGACACAAAGTTATTACCCATCTCCTAAGTAATCTGTTTTGTTGAAAAAAAAAATCTCAATTCACAGTCTATTTAGCATTTTGTCACTGATGGCCTCCCTGTTTCTCTGGGCACTGTGCACTTAATAATCCCAAGGATATAGCTTTCTTGGTCTTTGTTAAAATAGTGTGTGGAGGGGCCAGTAGGTGGCATGGTAGTTAAAGTGCTGGATTCCCACATGACCAACCTTGGTTTGAGTTCTGGACCTGGCAGCTTAAAAATGGGCACGTGTGTGTGCATGCCCAAAATCCCCAAAGGAGAATGGAGGAGAAGGGATTGCAGCATGTGGGCCAGCCACATGGTTCAAGTCCTGAACCTGGCAGCTTGCTTTCTCACTCCCCCCACCCCTCACTCTGTCCCTCACTGGTCAAAAATAAATAAATAAATAAATAAGTTTTAAAAATGTGCAGTGTGGCTAGCATAAACAGAAGACAAACTGGAGAAAGTATATTACCCATGGACATTGCCAAGACTTGACACACACAAACCCTGGTGTTCACTGCACATTGCTAAATACTACCCAGAACTACAATGGGGTCTGATACTCTCCTGAATGTGAACAAAACTTATAGTTTCCACCAACTGATTAAATTTCCTTGTCTTATGTCATTCTGAAAGAAAAAATGTCTGAGAACATAAAGCAATAGGATAGTCAATTCCTAATGAATTCCATTATCCCAGTGATCCAACATAAATACTGATATCCCCACTGGCACTACCACTAAGCTCCTGGATTTATTCTATATTTCTCAGATCCATTGCTAATAACATTAAAATAGTGGTTTCAACTCCATGGGCCCTCTTATTAGCTAGTTTGCTATGTGTTCTTGTAGCATACCGTGGTACCACTGAGGTGCTTTGGCTTGGAAGAATAAGCACAGAATGTAGTGTTCCTCTGGATTCAAATGTCAAAGATTAACCTCTTGTTGCACGGCCTTATGCAGATCTCCAGACTCTGAGTTTATCTGTAAGATGTAGCTAAAAGTTACCCTCACACTGTTTAGAGGTTAAACTGGAGGAATGGATGTGATGGCGACTTGCACAGGGTGGATATTAGTACAATTGTAAATAAGTAAAACAGCTGTACTTCTCAGGAGCCCATCATAACCATTGGGAGTGACTTCTTGATACATTTCAGGACTAAAGTAAGATGTTCTGAGTATGGAACACAGACAGATACTTTGAGGGGCTGTAGGAGGTACACAGGCCAACTTTGCCATATTTTTCACAATGTCTAGACCAGTATGACAGAAATAAAGGCAGGATCCATCAAAGCAGGGCCTTTAAAACTCTAACTCAGGTGAAAGCAGATCAAACCTTTTCCAATCTCTCCCCATCCCATGAAAAGCATTGGAGTTGAGCCACTACAGATGTTTCTATTTGTCCTTGAAGAAAACAGTTAATAAACAAATTCAGAGGCCAAGGCTGCATTTCTAAGGTCAGTCATCCCTGAGCACAGCTGGGTCCCAAAGTAGATAACTCTCTTGATTAACTTGGCTCTTAACTTTCCTCCTGATTTTCATTATGAGGTGGCCTGGGGAATTCCTTGGAACATGAAAATAGAGCAAAGGAAGTTATATGTTCTGTAAATGAGGGGTGGGGGTGGGAAAGATGGTCTTCTAGGGTTCTTCCAGTTCTGACATTTGAGGATTATAAGAACACGTTTCTTTCCTGTAATTCTCAGGGAAACTTCTGCAGATGAGGTAAATTTAGGATGAGGAAACTTGATTTTTGCCAGCTAACTGACAGACTCCAGCAGAGAAAAGAATGCTGTGGGCTTTGAGAACCCTGACAAGGGTCTGGAGGAGCTCAGTAGCCTGGGGTTTCATTCCTGAAGAGTAAGACCCTGGTCTTTGACCTTGCTAAATGGAGAAGTAATTCCAGGCATCCCAATAGCAATGTAGCCATGCTCAAGAACTTCTGCTGAGTTGAGAGTCTGCCCTAAGGTAGGAAGGGGACAACAGGAGCAGAAAGAGAGGAAAATATGATTTTCTCCTATCAGGCAATGCAATTGGCTTGATATCTCTTGATTGCATAGTCTCTCTGGCAGTAGGCCTACTGGAAGAAGACAGGGAGTATAAGATTAAAATGCCATGAGACTCTGTTGGGGGTACCTATCTCTCTTCTCTGTCGTGAAATAAACTTTTTAAAGAATTCTTTATTTCATTTATTTTTAATTTGAACAGACAGAAAGAGGAAACGAGAGCAAGTCGCTAGGTCCAGGACTCAAACCAGTCGGCCATGTGGGAATCCAGCGCCTTTAACCACCATACCACCTGCTGGCCCCAAATAAACTTTTTAAAAAATGTAAAAACTAAGGACCAGCAGTTGGCATAATGGCTATGTCACTGGACTCCCATGTAGTCGACCATGGGTTGAGTCCCAGACCCGGTGGCTTAAACTTACACCAGGCGCATGTGTGTGCGTGCCCAAGATCCCGAGAGGAGAATGAAGGAGAAGAGATTGTGGTGTGGCCATCCCCCCCTGGGGGGTGATTTCTCACTTTCTGTCTCTCTGTCTTTCTGACATAGTGCACGTGCCCTATAGCAAAAACCTCTCAAAAAATATAAAAAATAAATCAGTTCATATACAAATAAATAGTAGTGGTTATCAAAAAAATAAGTTGTGAGCAGAACTTGTCTGGGAGGTTACTGCAGGGCCAGGACAAGACTAGGCAAGAGAGGTACTTGCCTGAGGGGCCAAAAACCTCTGTAATCAATATAAATAATATTTTAGTACAATATTTTTCAAAATCAGAATTAATGCAAAAAAATGAACAAAATATCAAAAAATTTAATAAGGATTAGTAACAGTGCCAGGCCAAGCCCTAATGGAGCATGAGGCTAAAGGACAACTTGGTAAGATTCTATGGGAGGGAAGCAGTAGTTAGCGTAATGGCTATGTCGCTGGACTCCCACGTAGTTGACCGCAGTTCATGTCCTGGACCCAGTGGCTTAGAACTCACGCCGGCCACGTGTGCATGCGTGCCCAAGATCCTGAGAGGAGAATGGAGGAGAAGGGATTGCAGCGTGACCATCCCCCCCTAGGGGCTGATTTCTCGCTTTCTGTCTCTATGTCTCTCTCTGTCTGTCTGGCGAGCACATGCGCCCTATAGCGAAAACCTCTAAAAAAAAAAAAAGATTCTATGGGAATAACACTTTACACAAGATTGCCAAAGAAGTATTTAGCAAATGTATTGCCCTTAAAGCCTATTATCAGTACAAAACAAACAAAATACAACCAGAGAAGTCACTGCCTAAAGAACTTAAAGAATTGTTGACAAATCAAACAAGTTTAAGAAAAAAGAAATAAACTTTGAGGCAAGGGAAAAAAACCTAAGGGAGAAAGCAGTTTCACTTCAGCCTTTAAAATACAAGGGGGATCAACAGATAGCATAATGGTTACATCACTGGACTCCCACATAATCAACCACAGTTCGAGTCTCAGACCCAGTGACTTAAAGCTCACGCTGGGCATGTGTGTGTACTTGCCCAATATCCTGAGAGGAGAATGGAGGAGGAGAAGGGATTGAGGCATAGCCATACCCCTGGGGGATGATTTCTCCCTTTCTGTCTCTCTGTCTGTCTGTCTCTCTGGCGAGCTCAAGTGCCCTATAGCAAAAATCTCTCTTAAAAAATATCAGGAATTAGGGAGTATTACAGTGTTTTCTCTCTTAACATAATATTGTTACATTGTGTACATCTATCCAAACAAAAACTCCTATTAGATTAATTCTGAATAAAACCAGGAATCACACAAGATCACCTCTGTTAAAAATTCTACCTTAAGGGACCAGCAGTTGGTTAATGACTATGTCACTAAACTCCCATGTAGTCGACTGTGGTTCGAGTCCCGAACCTGGTGGCTTAAACTCATGCCAAGCCTATGTGCGTGCATGCCCAAGATCCTGAGACGAGAATGGAGGAGAAGGGATTGCAGTGTGGCCATCCCCCATGGGGGGTGATTTCTCACTTTCTGTCTCTATGTCTCTGTCTTTTTGGCAAGCGCATGCACCCTACAGCAAAATAATAATAATAATAATAATAATAATAATAATAATAATAATAATAAATAAATAAATAAATAATTCTACCTTAAAATAGTTCTAATAGGGACAGCCCATTGTACAGTGGTTCAGCTCAGTGCATAGGTACCAGACCCCACATAACCAACCATGGTTCAAGTTCCAGCTCTTGAGGTAAACACTAGATGTGTGTGTTAGCATGCCTGGGATCCTGATAGGATAAAGAAATGGAAGAAGGATTGCAGCATGCCTATGCTTTGTTGGGGGTCTCCCTCTGTCTCTCTCTCTCTCTGTCTCTCAATCACATGCATCCTCTGGCGATTAAATTTTTTTTTTTTTGAGAGGTTTTCACTATAGGGCACGTGCGCTTGCCAGACAGACAGAGAGAGACGTAGAGACAGAAAGCGAGAAATCACCCCCCAGGGTGGGATGGTCACGTCGCAATCCCTTCTCCTCCATTCTCCTCTCGGGATCTTGAGCACGTACGCACATGTGCCCGGCGTGAGTTTTAAGCCACCGGGTCTGGGACGTGAACTGCGGTCGACTACGTGGGAGTCCAGAGACATAGCCATTACGCTAACTACTGGTTCCCTGGTGATTAAAAAATTTTTAAATAGTTCTAAGCCAACCCATGACCTGGTGACAAAGTGGCTGGATCCCATATGGCTGACAGTGTGGTTCAAATCATGGATCCAGTGACTTGAATAACACATCAGCTGCATGAACATGTGTGTTCAAAATCTCAAAAGGAAGGAGAAATGGAGAGATTGTGGCATGACTATGCCCCATGGGAGTG